GTGGATTCATCCGGTATTTTACGTTTAGTATATTTACAAAGAAAATTTTTGAAAATTGTATTATTTAATTTTGTTAATGGAATATTTGCAGAAACAAATGCGTTGCATAAATCTTCATAAAAGATTTTGTCTGGACATCCCTCTAAAGATTGCATGTGTTTTTGTGTTTTCACATGTTGTGTCATACTTGACTTTCCATTAAAAACTAACACCTGATCACAATTGCGGCAGTATAATTTGTTGTCATTAAAACGACGAAAACAATCAAAGTCCGATAATAAATTTTCCATATTTACGTTTCCAGTTTCTATCACTTTTCCCTTTGAACTAAACAAATATACTCATTGGAAAAATCTAGTGATATTTTTACAAGACACTTTCTTCTCAAATCTCCTGTTTATCGACTCTTTGTTATCTTTTTACATTTTTTCAACCAACAGATACCTATATAGAGTGAGCAATTGAATTAATACATACATTACAGAAATTTAACAGACATTTATTTTATTGTCTCATCGTGTATAAGTACCATAATATCCACAGGAAATAAAAACATAAATGTTTTGTTACAAAAAATCGGTATGTACGGTATCGATAAAAGCCAAAATATTCATAAATATAATATAAGGATTGACTTTATTTGAATAAAAATATCACCGGCAACTAACCGACAATGGATCGAGAAAGTATAAGACAACATATGATGGGCCTATTTGACATTCATTTTAGGCCCTCTCTACAGCGTCTTAGTCCAAACGCTCGTAGAGTCCTAATATTTGGCCCCGATGCAATTTCTCCAACAATGAATCGGGACCAGCTAAGGCTAGAAATTTCCAATTTTCTGGAGGAAATAACAAATTCGGGGGAGGCAGCTGGGGTCCTCGATCCTCATTTTAGGCAGGAGAGTAGTGTACCACGCCAAAATATTGAGGAATAGATATTTTGTAATTATATAAGAGATAATAATAAAAAAAATATCATACAGAATATCGTTTACATTACTACACCTTAAACTCGCTTATGAAAAGTTTAACATCTTCATCAAAAAAGTTATTTTTTTTTAAGGAAAATTTCTCAGGCCACAAATTAAAGGATCTGAGGTTACTAAAAACTTTTGTAAAATATCCTACATATCCTCGGCGTTGGTGAGAAGAAAACATTAAATTTGTTTAATGAAAATTATTCAAAAGACAAAGAATATAGGTACACGATAAAAAAAATCTCACTTTTTTGTATTAGTTTTAATGTCTATGTATATATCAGTACACTTTTTTTATCTTGTTTTAATAAAAAAAAGAGGTTTGTCCTGATAGTATTAGAATCTGCCGCACTGTCTGCCGTCTTAAATAGCGAACCCAGAATGAGACGCCTATGTGATTAAAACCAATTATTTGAACGCGATTAAAATGTCCGGTCTTTACTGATAAGAATAAATTAAATTGTCCGGTCTTTACTAATGAGTCACTATCACTAGTTCAGATAGATCGTTCGAAGCTATCTGGAAATTAGAGACAAAAGATCAGTCAATATGATTAATAAATATGAAGTTTTGTAGTAATCTACTTTTAAAATATATTTTTTTTTACTTTAATAAGTGTAGTGTTACCAGACGTCAGGATTTGCCCGCACATGTTCGGGTTTTTACTAAGTCTGGGTGTGTCAGAGCGGATTTTGCAGAAGCGTCCGGATTTTAAAGAAGTTGTCTTTTTAACAACAAAAATGCAGAATAAACTAGATCAGGAAAATGCTGTCATTAAACTCGTAGTGTAAAATCCCCTTAACTATATTCTGCAGTGCAAAACACCCCTAATGGGCTAAAGTCAATGGAAACGGCAGTGCTATGAATTATTTTTTTGCCCTTTTTTTTTGTCCTTTTTTTGTCCTTTTTTGCCCTTTTTGCCTTTTTTCAGATAAAAAATGTCAGGATTTTGGGGTCTATTCTGTAAAAATTCCTTTATATTTAACGGCCTTTAAAAATATTGTCGGCCTTTAAACATATGTTCGTATTCGTTAATTTACTTCTGTCATTATTTAAACAGATTTCTTTAAGATAGTCCTCTAATGTATTTTAAAGATCCGTTTAAATAATGACAGAAGTAAAGAAGAAAATATTTTTAAAGGCCGTTAAATATAAAGGAATTGTTACAGAATAGACCCCATTGTATTGTTAGAAATTAAAGGAATTAACTTCAAAATTATTGTTTTCAAATGATTTATGTATAGCCACTTCACAAAACACGTGTTAACATAGTTTTATAATCCTACTAATATACTCGTATAAATGCGAAAGTTTGGATGGATAGATGGATGGATGGATGGATGGATGGATGGATGGATGGATGGATGGATGGATGGATGGATGGATGGATGGATGGATGGATGGATGGATGGATGGATGGATGGATGGATGGATGGATGGATGGATGGATGGATGGATGGATGGATGGATGGATGGATGGATGGATGGATGGATGGATGGATGGATGGATGGATGGATGGATGGATGGATGGATGGATGGATGGATGGATGGATGGATGGATGGATGGATGGTTGGATGGATGGATGGATGGATGGATGGATGGATGGATGGATGGATGGATGGATGGATGGATGGATGGATGGATGGATGGATGGATGGATGGATGTTGAACGGATCTCGATGAAATTTGGCCCAGAGATAGAATATAGTCTGGAAGAGCACATAGGTTACTTTTTTATCCTAGAAAAATTTACTGTTCCCGTGGGATATATTTGTTTTGTTTTTCACAGAGCAAGAGACCATATATGATTTTTGCATAGTGGTAGTGAAACATGAATATTTGAAATACAGCTATTGAGCATAAATAAATAATGACGTGTATCAGGGTTTTTGTAATTTCACATTTTAAGGGGGGAAACAGGGGGTGAAAGTTTCTATAGAAGTATCGATTTTTTAAAGGTAGGAAGTTGAAAATCAAAATTATAGCTACTCATCACAAATAAATAATGACGTGTTTCAGGGTTTTTACATTTTCTTTTTTTAAGGGGAGAAATAAAGGGCGAAATAGGGAAAAATGGGTGGGGAGGTTAAAATTTTAGGGGTGAAAGTTTGTATTGGGGTATCGATTTTTTAAAGGTAGAAACTTGAAAATTGGAATTATAGCTACCGTCAAACGGGGTTAATTGAATCACAAAAAGTTGTTTTTCTCAGAATATTCCAAAACTACAAATATTAAAAATCTGTGAAAAATAACGTATGTTGTTTGGGGCTTACCTCTCACTATTAACCAATTTTTATATTTTTAGTTTACTTAGAAGTGAAGAAGTGCCCAATTTTTTTTTGGTAAAATGTGATTCACTTGCCCCTTATTTTGGGGTAAAGTGAATCATGGTTTAAATCGCAAAGAAAATCACTATGGCAAATGTCGGGGTAAAGTGAACCACTAAAAAACACTTGGTTGGAAAGACAAATAAATAAAAGTAATACAAAGAACTAAAACGTTTATTTAAAAATAGTAAAAAAACAGCTTTTAATCATGAAGCAAAGAAGAAATTTACGAACTAAAAATATAATATTCGTCACTTATAACGGAAATAACCGAATGGTTCACTTTACCCATTGTGATTCACTTAACCCCGTTTGACGGCACTTATCATAAGTAAATAATGACGTATTTATTGGTTTTTGGATGGGGGAAGTAGGTAAAAATAAATGAAAATAAATAAAAATAAATAAAAATAAATAAAAATAAATAAAAATAAATTAAATAAAAATAAATAAAAATAAATAAAAATAAATAAAAATAAATAAAAATAAATAAAAATAAATAAAAATAAATAAAAATAAATAAAAATAAATAAAAATAAATAAAAATAAATAAAAATAAATAAAAATAAATAAAAATAAATAAAAATAAATAAAAATAAATAAAAATAAATAAAAATAAATAAAAATAAATAAAAATAAATAAAAATAAATAAAAATAAATAAAAATAAATAAAAATAAATAAAAATAAATAAAAATAAATAAAAATAAATAAAAATAAATAAAAATAAATAAAAATAAATGAAAATAAATGAAAATAAATAAAAAAAAATAAAAATAAAAAAAAAATAAATAAAAATAAATAAAAATAAATAAAAATAAATAAAAATAAATAAAAATAAATAAAAATAAATAAAAATAAATAAAAATAAATGAAACTAAATGAAAACAAATACGAGTAAACATGAGTAAACACGAATAAGTACGAACAAATACGAATAATTACGAGAAAAATCCTAGTAAATACGAATAAATATCAATAAATACTAATAAATAAGAATAGTTATGCATTTTTTTTATATTAAAAACACGACTCCACGCGTACAAAGCCGCGGGCAATAGCTAGTGTTTTATTAAATATCTCATAAACAATGTTTTGAGATTTAATTAATTAAGGAACAAAATAAAGAATGTCTTTAAAGGGAATTCAATGCCTACTTGCTTGTCTTCGCTCAAACGAAATTCAAGTGTTCCCGTTTTCTTTTGGATACTGCAACGGGCGCGATGTGGTACCGTCGACCCCAGTGGCGGCGGTATCCTAATTTGCTGACTCTTAATAGTACACTGTATGAAACCATTACATGCAGGCCCCCGAGGCAAACTACACACCAATATTAGTATCACCGAAATTATTTATGTAAAGAAGGTGTATTTATAGAAACGAAAATTATTTTAGTAAAACGTCAGTGAAAGATAATATAATAATTTTTAAAAGTGTATATGGAATCTTAACATAAACTGCTTTAAAGCCAAGTAAATAGCCATAATTTATTAATAATTTATGTGTTTTTTAATGTGATTCCTAGTAAGCAAAATCAAAGTTGTTTTCTAGATATAATTCATTTCCAGTCGACACATATCACCAGAGTAGTAGTTGTTTTTCTAGAGGAAAGCGGCGCCCGACCCATTTCTATGATATATACCTTTTTTTTAAATTTTTCTTCTATATTTAAGTCTTAATTTCTTTGTTTCAGGCCGAGGCGCGACTATGGGCAAAGAGACAAGCCAGGGCAGAAGCCAGAGAGATACGAATGCGCGAATTAGAACGACAACAGAAAGAGCAGGAAGAAAACGCTGACAGGCAGTTCGACATGTTGACTTCGGAACCCACCTCGTTGGTCAGGACGCCGCGGAGCGCCGGTACTCGATACCTATCGAGCAGGCGCAGCTCCGAGGATTCGTTGGAAGACGGAGGAAGTCTTCGAGAGTTGAGGGTAAGAAAAGAACCATCTTTCCATATTTTTCTCTACTATATTTTATGTAATACCCAGAGATATAACAAGTTATATCGATAAAATATAATTATCGTGACGCCGACATCGATACGGTCCAATTGTAGATCAGGAGTGAAGAGACATGTGACGTGAGGTAAGGGAAGGGATAAAGTGAAGGATTCGATGGTCCTACAAAACAATTTTATCAATAAATATATGTGTAAATTGTACGCCGATAATACACATTGTACAAATTGCCACATCTAGTACAAAATACTTAACAATCCAATGTAACATTAACTAGATTTTGGAATTTATTGAAAATCTAATTTACTGAACTTACATCTAATTTACTTAAATTTGATATAACTAATGATTTAAAATTGTTTGGGTCCAGTTGCAATAAAATAGGTTGAATTATTTTAGCTTTTTTAAGATATGTAAATAATTTTGTAAATAAAACGAGAATAATGAAATAGGCGTGACAACAGCGGATATTATACCCTCCTGTGTCCCTTAGAATATGTCTTATTCGCGACAGCACGATATTTGTTTGTAGTCACATCTCCTCTAATCTCTGGGTATATCCCAATAGCGGTTTTAACTTCAAGAAGACAGCAGTAATACTGAAATATCAAGTAATCGTAAATATTTCTGGGAGTATAAAAAAATCGCTGTAACTCACAAATTTTCTACCTGTTTGTAAATAAATTTATTGTGATTTTTTAAAATTATTGCAATAAGTAACATTTTTCGTTTAGGCAATATTATACAGGAGTAAATCAAAATGTTCTTTTTCGTCGCAACTTCAAAACACCTTGTAACAAAATTTATTAAAAAAAATGCAGCTCATAAAAGATGAGATAATGGGATGAAACAAATAACAAAATGTTTGGAATACATATGAGATTACAGCAAACAGTATGTAAACAAAATTATATGCCTCAATTCTGTTACAAGGTGTTTTGAAGTTGCGACAAAAAACAACATTTTGATTTACTCCTGTATAATATTGCGTGAACGAAAAGTGTTACTTATTGCAATAATTTTAATAATATTTAATAAATTTATCTATAAATTGGTAGACTTTATAAAAATAGGATAAAACATAAAAAAGTAATAATATAATGAAATTTGGTCAAAATTTTAGGGTAGGGAAATTTTGTGCCAGGAAGTGTATACCTAAATATTTTTTTTATTTGGTGTCATCGGCATCAACTACTAAGGTTATTAGCTCCTTATTATGTGTAGGCTTTGTTCCCAACTTCACTTTAGGAACAAATACTGTTAATTACAACCCAACAGTGAATGAATATTATTTTTATTTAGCTCCTTGAGAATTATTATTTAATGTATTAATTATATATAATTATATGGACTCATGCATTCAAGCATCCAGATTTTTAAGTTAAATTAATTTCTGTTCTCTAATAAGTGATTTAACTCAATTTTTAAAACAAATTTGTTTTTATTTGTATATCAATTGTTATATTTGTACTTACTGTCAAATTACTGTAAATTATTTTCAATAAACAATTGTTCTCACCTATAATCTCTCTTTGCCACTAAAATCAAGAAAACTCATGTCAGTATTTTGTACACCATCCCCGTATATTTCATAAACAAAATCAGAATATAATCTATCCAACCACATTGTTGATATTGATCCAAATACCGATCAGTGTCACAGGATCACCATTACCAATTAAAACAATCTTATCTAATTCAATTCAAATTTCCAACCTGTAAAAATATATATACACACATAAAAATAATATGCAGAACAATGCCATTATAACGCAGTTGAATTTCCAGCACGAACTCAAAGAAGTCGAAGAGAAATTCAGGAAAGCCATGATAGCCAATGCCCAATTGGACAACGATAAATCGGCGCAGACCTACCAATTGGAGTTGCTGAAAGATAGGTTAGAAGAATTAGAAGAGGACCATTCCCAATTGAAGAGGGAACATCGAGACAAATGTAGGGAGTACCAAACGTTGAAAAGCATTTGTACGAAATTAAAGGACGACCTAGCGTTCGCCAAATACGAGCTGGACGAACGGGATCGACTCATAGCGGAAAAGGGCCTGGTGATAGTCGGCGAGGAGGTGCCCGCCGACGAAGATGGTACCCAACATCCGCCCAAGAAGGCGTTAGTCAGTGTGGAGAATGCCCATTTGCTCGAGACTGCCGGCGATGGAAGTTTGGGTAAGTGTTTATAAAATATTGTACAGGTCTGATTAAAAAACTGAATTAAATTGACTATAAACTAGTTAATTTTAGTTTTTCACTTTCTGAATTAATATTAAAAAAAACAATCGTCGAATTTTGACATATTTTTAATCAAGCTAAAGAAAAAACTTGGGCAATTCGTTTTTTGAAAATTGTACTGTCGAAATTTTGTCCATTTTTTTCTGGAACTTTTGAAGTCAGACTATGTCAAGCTTCGACAAGTTTGCTCAATTAGGGCTTCCATTTCTGTCCGAATATTGTCTTTTAAGTACCCCAGATTGGGAGGGCGTTACGATAAACTCAAATTTTAAGATATCTCAATAAAAAAAGTCGCATGTAGTCAAATCAGGTCTTTGAGGAGGCCAATTTATGTCTGCTCGTCGAGAAATCAATTTACCAGGAAAAATCGTCTCAACAATCGACAAATAGTGATTTGAAGTGTGACTGGTGGCTCCGTTTTGTTAAAACATGGTTTCTTGCTCAAATTTTTGAAGAGCAGTTATTAAAAAATCACGAAAAGTGTCGGTATAACGTTCGGAATTCACTATTATTGCGAACGGACCGATAATTCCAGATGCTGAAATGGCGGCCCAAATTGTGACCTTTCTGGGCAATGGAAAGTCCTTTGATGTTATCTTTTAGGGCTCATTTCACCCCAATAACGAAATAGACATAGAAAATTGTCAAAAAATTAATTTCCTAAATCAGGTGTAAGGAAAAATTAAAACATCCTAATCCTTGTAATAAACTAAAATTGCATTTTTTTACTTGAAATTCCGTACACTTTTGTTTGCAATTCACTGAAATTACACAGGACTTTTATTTTCACTCAAATAATGTCAAATTTACTTGACATTCCTTGAATCTTTACTTTAATTCTTCAGAATTTTTCTTTTAATTCTCTAAAATCCCACATTACTTTTATTTTTTCATTAAATAATGCCAAATTGTCAAAAAATTCATTAATGTTATTTTCTAAATCAGATGTAAGGAAAAATTAAAACCTAACTATTAAAACATCCTAATCCTTGTAATATACTAAAATTGCCCTTTTTACTTAAAATTCCATACACTTTTGTTTGCTATTCACTGAAATTACACAGGACTTTTATTTTCACTCAAATGATGTCAAATTTACTTGAAATTCCTTTAATGTTTACTTTAATTCTTCAGAAATTTTCTATTAATTCTCTAAAATTTCACATTACTTTTATTTTTTCATTAAATAATGCCAAATTGTCAAAAAATTCATTAATAATGTTATTTTCTGATTCAGATGTAAGGATAAATTAAAACCTAATTATTAAAACATCCTAATCCTTGTAATAAACTAAAATTGCCCTTTTTACTTAAAATTCCATACACTTTTGTTTGCTATTCACTGAAATTACACACGACTTTTATTTTCACTCAAATGATGTCAAATTTACTTAAAATTCCTTGAATGTTTACTTTAATTCTTCAGAATTTTTCTATTAATTCTCTAAAATTTCACATTACTTTTATTTTTTCATTAAATAATGCCAAATTGTCAAAAAATTCATTAATAGTGTTATTTTCTAAATCAAGTGTAAGGGGTTAAAGAAAAGGTCCTTTATTTCTCACAAGTCAATTTAATTGGCGACCGGTTTCGAAGCTGTCACTTCATCATCAGGCACACCTAAATGGAATGTCAAGGAGTCAGTTGTAATAAAAAACAATTATAAAAGCATGAACGGACTTTAACATATACAAAATAACAGAAAAAACACAAAAGAAGTTAAACAATAACCTTGACTCACCTTGACTATTTCCATAAAGGAAGCGCTACATAAAGTTTAACAAAACGAGTTAAAAAAGTCATATGTAATACAATAGTATTTTTTTAAAAAATATTGTAGGTTAGGTTAAACCGCGAGATGTCTGTTTGAATAAATTAATTAAAACACATGTAAGACAATTATTAACTAAACAACACAAAATAGTTTTTACAAGCACAAACAGTTTAAAATTTTTTTAAGGATATAACGTCAATTAATAAAAGTAAAAAGTAAAAATTATCAGACTCTCAAGACATCTATCTAGATTTTTAACGAATCAATGTAGTAAATTTTAAATTTAGCGGATAAATAGTGTACTAACAAAGGTGTTATTTACAGATTATCTGCTTCAAATTTCCCTTTTACATATGAATTTTCATATTTTCTTGTTCAGTGTTCTAATTTTCTTGTTAGTATTTTTTGTTTTCTCATTTCCCAGTTTAATATTTTTACTTTCAATAAATTTTGTCACCGCCACCTATACTCACTTTCAGTAAATAACACCTTTGTTAGTACACTATTTATCCGCTAAATTTAAAATTTACAGTTTACTACATTGATTCGTTAAAAATCTAGATAGATGTCTTGAGAGTCTGATAATTTTTACTTTTTACTTTTATTAATTGACGTTATATCCTTAAAAAAAATTTAAACTGTTTGTGCTTGTAAAAACTATTGTGTTGTTTAGTTAATAATTGTCTTACATGTGTTTTAATTAATTTATTCAAACAGACATCTCGCGGTTTAACCTAATCTACAATATTTTTTAAAAAAATACTATTGTATTACATATGACTTTTTTAACTCGTTTTGTTAAACTTTATGTAGCGCTTCCTTTATGGAAATAGTCAAGGTGAGTCAAGGTTATTGTTTAACTTCTTTTGTGTTTTTTCTGTTATTTTGTATATGTTAAAGTCCGTTCATGCTTTTATAATTGTTTTTTATTACAACTGACTCCTTGACATTCCATTTAGGTGTGCCTGATGATGAAGTGACAGCTTCGAAACCGGTCGCCAATTAAATTGACTTGTGAGAAATAAAGGACCTTTTCTTTAACCCCTTACACTCAATCCCTACTACTCACATATGGCTACCCTCACTCCAAATTTTCTAAATCAGCTTTAAGGAAAAATTAAAACCTAACTAATAAAACATCCTAATCCTTGTAATAAACTAAAATTGCATTTTTTACTTGAAATTCTGTACACTTTTGTTTGCAATCGACTGAAATTACACAGGACTTTTATTTTCACTCAAATAATGTCAAATTTATTTAAATTTCTTGAATGTTTACTTTAATTATTCAAAATTTTTCTTTTAATTCTCTAAAATTCGACGTTACTTTTATTTTTTCATTAAATAATGAAATTATTACTTAGAATTCCTTGACATTTTACTTGAATTCTTTATAATTCTACTTGTAATAAACTAAAATTGCTCTTTTTTACTTGAAATTCCTTGTACTTTTGTGTAGTATAGAAGATAATATTTTTCAGCTATTGTTTTTATACAGGTTTCCACTCTGCTGTTTTTTTTTTATTTTTAGAGTTCTCTTTCCTAGAATTTGGTAAATTTAAATTTTATAAGTGTTCTAAGACAGTTTCATCTTGATTTTCGTCAATTTCTAAGAAATTCGGAAACTTCCGAGGGAATTCCAACAAAATTCCATTCACCTGTGTCATGTTAGCTCCTAGCCAGCCAGCTCCAAAACCAGCCGGAGCTCAAAGCGCCAGCGGTCGAAAAATATTCTTTTACGACAACAATTATTCGTTCTAAATTTTAGTTTAAAGATTACTACACCTTCAGAATAATGTTAATTATTTTCAATAACCCTTATAGAATTATATTAAGGAATTAAAGGGATGAAATTTCAATATTTTTGGTGCTGAAAATTTTTTTTCTATAATTTTATTAAGCCAATCGATAGATAATACAAATACAAACAACTTTTCTTTATTCCATTTTGAATGCTATATATGAAATAAAGATTTTAGAGAGGGGTTGATATTTCATTATTTTTGGAGCTGGAAAAAATTTTGTTTTTTCTTTAATTTTATTACGCCAATCAATAGATAATACAAATACAAACAACTTTTCTTTATTCCATTTTGAATGCTATACATAAAATAAGGATTTTAGAGAGGGGTTGATATTTAATTATTTTTGGAGCTGGAAAAGTTTTTGTTTTTTCTTTAATTTTATTACGCCAAAAAATAGATAATACAAATACAAACAACTTTTCTTAATTCCATTTTGAATGCTATATATGAAATAAGGATTTTAGAGAGGGGTTGATATTTCATTATTTTTGGAGCTGGAAAAAATTTTGTTTTTTCTTTAATTTTATTAAGCCAATCGATAGATAATACAAATACAAACAACTTTTCTTTATTCCATTTTGAATGCTATACATGAAATAAGGATTTTAGAGAGGGGTTGATATTTCATTATTTTTGGAGCTGGAAAAAATTTTGTTTTTTCTTTAATTTTATTAAGCCAATCGATAGATAATACAAATACAAACAACTTTTCTTTATTCCATTTTGAATGCTATATATGAAATAAAGATTTTAGAAAGGGGTTGATATTTCATTATTTTTGGAGCTGGAAAAAATTTTGTTTTTTCTTTAATTTTATTAAGCCAATCGATAGATAATACAAATACAAACAACTTTTCTTTATTCCATTTTGAATGCTATATATGAAATAAAGATTTTAGAAAGGGGTTGATATTTCATTATTTTTGGAGCTGGAAAAAATTTTGTTTTTTCTTTAATTTTATTACGCCAATCAATAGATAATACAAATAGAAACAACTTTTCTTTATTCCATTTTAAATGCTATATATGAAATAAGGATTTTAGAGAGGGGTTGATATTTCATTATTTTTGGAGCTGGAAAAAATTTTGTTTTTTCTTTAATTTTATTAAGCCAATCGATAGATAATACAAATACAAACAACTTTTCTTTATTCCATTTTGAATGCTATACATGAAATAAAGATTTTAGAGAGGGGTTGATATTTCATTATTTTTGGAGCTGGAAAAAATTTTGTTTTTTCTTTAATTTTATTACGCCAATCAATAGATAATACAAATACAAACAACTTTTCTAAATTCCATTTTGAATGCTATATATGAAATAAGGATTTTAGAGAGGGGTTGATATTTCATTATT